AATTGCGAAGGGCAGTAACTGAATTTGTAACTGCGTGGCCGACACAGCATGCCAAGGACAGCATGTACCCGGTTTGAGTACAGAAAAATGTAATATGACCACATCTGTCAAAATTGTTCAAGACAGTGTAGAAAGAATCAGCTACATGTGTAGAATAACGCTCACTGCATGAACAGATATGTCAGCTTTAGATCAGAATGCATGCATGACATTTTTCTAGGTATGCACAGGAAAACAAAAGACGCTTCACTGTTGTGGAAGTGCACAGATAAAAGGCAAAGAAAGTTCTGAAGGAGCACAATTCACCCGCTTATAATTCATGTCTTCAAAAAGAAAGTGCGGTTTACGGTTTGGAGTTGATTGAAATTGCTTCAGAGGCTGCACCAGCGATCCTACTGTTCAGCCTCCTCCATTGATTTCTTCTGTCTTTCCTCACTCTGTCAGACATTAAGCATCAGGCTGTTTTTATCTTGCAGTGGTAAACTGCTCTGATCCGGGCTTTGTGGAGAACACCATTCGTCACTCTCAACAGCGCTACCCCGAGAGCTTCAACTACAGAAACACCGTGATGTATCACTGCAAGAGGGGCTTCTATCTGCTCGGCTCCTCCGTCCTCACCTGCCAGTCAAATGGCTTCTGGGACAGATCACTTCCTAAGTGCCTTCGTGAGTGATAGCCTCATGTTTCGTCCAATACACACTCGTCCAGAGATTCATACAGTGCCAAAAATGGCTTTGCTGTTGTATACATGTGATGGAATGCTTAAAAAAAAACATTTTAAAAATTAGAATTATGGTTCTTGATTCCGGTAATATCCGACATTCTTAAAACAAGCTCAATTCATTGGAGAAGAAGGATTATATAAGATGTTGAGACCTTTTTTGTTTATACTTTTGCTAATTGAATAAGAAAAATAAGCTTAGTTCATACTTATATTGCACAAGTTATTTAGATATTTAGATAGTTTTACAAAAAGGACAAACTTCTGAGTGATTACGTTTTCTGTTTACATAGATTTTTAATTTATTTTAGCTTTAATATTTTTAGCCCTTGTGCACTAAAGGGAATACATTTAGAGATGTAACTTTTCAGAGAGGGCTTTAGCATTCTGACAGTGTGCTTTACCTTGCTAAAAGTAACTATAACTGTTGAACTGTCAGCGCAATAAAAGTCATCTCTTAGAAGTTGCATTTCTAAATTCATCCCCTTAAAAGCTCCACTACTACAGCCATAAAGGACCACTTTTGTAACAGACAAGGCTTTTGTAAACAAGACAATTACTGTGCTGTCAAAATGTTTTTGAAATAGTTGGTCAATGTACAAATGCAGACCGACATCTTTTGCCATTGTCTCGCATCTCTGTTTATTTTTATTTTTTTTCAGCATTTCATGCTGCGAGCATTGTATTTTTAAGTGTATTTATAACTTGACACATTGTATTTGAAATGTGTCAAGTTAAAAATAGTTCAACATCTCGTTTTTTTTTTTTTTTCTAGTTTGTTGTTCTCCATCTAGCTGTTTGAATGCAAGCATACAGCCTATGTGATTGCCTCTTAGGAAAACGTCTGATTGGTGTATATTGTGTAGATAGGTTATCAGCGTTCTATACCAAAAATACTTTGACTGACAAACAGGGTAACCAGGCCGTCATAATCGATTGTGGAAATATGAAGTTTTGAAGTATCTTATCTGAGATGGTCCGTTCTCTTTCTAATGCCCCCCATAGCAATATCCTGCGGTGATCCCGGCACACCGCCGTTTGCTGTCATGTCGGGCCAGAAGTTCACCAACAGAGCTGTGGTCCATTACTCTTGCAGCCAGGGCCGGACTCTGGTGGGGAACGCCACGCGCCAGTGTCTGGATGATGGCCGGTGGAGCAGCTCGCCGCCCTACTGCTCAGGTACACACATCAGCAGGTGGCAGAGCCTCAGGGCGGGAGACTGCAGACCAGCTGGCTAGCTGAACTTTAAGCCTCTGTCTGAGCAGCTCAGCTTACTTCAGACTTAAGTGTCTGTCTGAGCTCAGACAGATCTTAAAGTTTAAACAGTAACTGCTGTTGACATCAGCGCTGACAAAGTTCTTGTTTCCTCAAAGTCCAGATGATGTGCACATCACGCAGCTCTCTGACATTATATGTTTATGTGATAAGTTTATGAAATAATAATGTAAACCAGACTGCCCCGGACTAGAGCCTAGCAGTTCGGTAAGAAGTACACACATTCATTTTGTTCATAGATAAACTAATTTAAGAGAGATCTACCATATGCTCTAAGATTGGTTTGCTACTACAGAAGCATATATTAACACCTAATTTCCAAATTCCTGGTGAAGAAGGAATCCACCAATCAGAGAAGTCAACAGGAAAACAGGAACTGAACCAAAAAAGCCCAGCAGTGACACCCACACCTATAAATCATTGAAAATTATGTATTCACATTAGTGTCCTATAGGGATGTAACAGTATGAAAATTTCTTATCACGATTATAGTGACCAAAATGATCACGGTTATCAGTATCATCACGGTGTTGTTCAGATGTGCTGGAAATGTTCAAAAAGTACTGACACACAAATAATTTCACCAAGTTTTACATTTAAAATCAACAAACAACAAATAAAATGAGTTTTTGTTTGCATAACTAAAACAATAACATTGGCAATGATGTCCGGATTTTAAATGACAGCATGACTGACAACAGTTTATCTAATAGCATGTTCAAATATCTAATGTAAATGTTCAAATAAAGCTTTGAAAAAGTTTCATAAATGGTAAACCTCACATTTCAGCTTTTAAATAAAGAAAAGGGTCAAGTCAAAATGACAATTGATTAATAAATGATTATATGTATTTATCTGCTCCATAAATAATACTAGATACCTTATTGTTTAAATGTTTAGAATCCATATAAGCTTGTTTTTCATCAACCGGTCAAAATTTACAGCAGGGCATGCTAATTCGCTGCACGCAGCTTCGCGCTCCTGACGCGAGGCTCTACACTCGAAGCGCTGCGCAGCTCAAACGAGTCGCGCTATTTCGTTATGCTTTCAGTTTCGTTTGCCGTTTGATGTTTCTCACATGCAACAGAAATGCAGCGCTTATGAGTTAAACAATGCGGTGGTGGCGCCAGTGCGACCGCACACAAAATTTAGTCGCACTGGCAGAAAAAATTCTAGCAAAATGCGCCCATTTGGTCGCACACTGGGGCCCTGTGCAGTACAGTATTTATTTATCCTCAGTTGTTCAAATCGCGGTAATCGAATACGGTTATAGTGATAATTAAAATATGAAACGGTAATACTAACCGTGGGGTATTTCATCACGATTTATCATCAAACCGGTAATCGTTAAAAGGGATTAGTGTCCTAAACCTTTTGATAACTTATATATTTGGGTAACACTTTCCAATAAGATCCCATTTGTTAACATAAGTTAATTTATTAGCTAACTTGAGCTAACAATGAGCAATACACACACACACACACACATATATATATATATATATATATATACACACATACATACATACATACATATACAGTATATGTACACATACATACATACATACATACATATATATATATATATATATATATGACCCGTGCTGGCAAAAAAAGAAGTGAAAAATTGAATTTGAGGTTTTCACGAAAATGTGTTTATTAAGCCCTCTTCTAGTGATCCCAATGCTTCAAATAGTAATTAAACATCTAAAATTATCTTTATTTGTATGTTTTCTGAGAGGAGTACCCTTTTTTCTGCTCACTTCTGGACGACTGCTGTTGCTCTCAGCACAAGTTGTAGGATATATCGTTGAAAAGTGCAGCATTCGAGCCTTATAAATATCCATAGCGAATTCTGTATGACATGAGTCTGAACCAGTAAAATATGATTTTCAAACCTGATGAGAACAAAACGATCGCCTCTCCGAGAGCGCGCGATCTCCCTATAAAGTACATTATTGCTAAATATGTCTTGGCAAGATTCACATAATCTGTTATGTCTTACATGAACGTTTAGTTAATGGTTGGGGAAAAATCTGATGTGTAACATTATATTAGATCCATGCATTACAGTAGGTCAAAATATTGATCTGTCTTGATGTTAATCAAACATTAAAACTAAAGACGGAATAATTCGCTGCTCTTGATTAAACTACATTTTATTTGCATCTTTGTATCTTATTTTTAATAACAGAGATAAAATAAACAGCTATATTGTGATTGATAATATAGTAATTATTATTAAGAAAATAATTGGAGGAAAATATGCAACGTTGCTTGGTGATATTGCTTTGGAATCTTCAGAAAACATTAACTCGATTTTTCTCAAAATCAACTCTGCTGACTCAAGTTATATATCATTTTGAAGGTATTTTAATGTAGGATGTGAAAATGAAGAGAACTCATTTTTGAAAATGTGCTCATTCTGACTCATTTTGCCAGCACGGGTCACACACACACACACACACACACACACACACACACACAGTCTAGCTAACGCTCTTACTTGATAAATGGTTTATTATCTTCATAGCTACAGAGCATGGCCAGCAGAGGAGAGAGACAACATTAGATCAGGCAAATCAGTTGGATTAGCATTGAAGTCCAAATGTAAGAATTCTGAAGTTAAAAATCAAATAAAGCTGGACAGAAAAAGGTAGATTTTGTGACAAGACACAAATTTCCTGGATAGATGTAGCTGCCCAGGTTATGAATTCTTAAAGACAACATGAAACAAATATTTCTTCTGTTTTTCAATGTGCATATCTTGATATTCTCTCTAAAATATCTTCTGTAATATCTATAAATAAATATAAAAATAATCCAGCTTCATAAAGCTATATATATAAAACACCAAATAACTTCCTATTGGCTGTCTTGCATCACAAAGCAGTTTAATTTTGGTGAAAATTGAAATGAAAATGAATTCTTAATGGAAGCTTTGAACCTGAGTACAAGGTTTTATATAGTCAATATATATATATATATATACACACACACACACTGTGCTCATTCTGACCCAGTTTCACACACACACACACACACACACACACACACACACACATATAATTAATATATATATAAATTAACTTAAACTTGGATTAACATGCTGTAGAAGTAATGTTAGTTTATATTTACTAGTTAAAAATGTTAACAAATGAGACCTTGTTGTACAGTGTTACGTATATTTGTATATATCTCAAGATTTTGAGATATAACAAAAAAAAACATTTCTAATGTAACATTTCTATAAAATAAGTCAATAGTCTTATATTTTATTTTTTTTATGTTTTTTTTTTTTTTGGTCATACTTTATTTTAAGGTCCAATTTTCACTCTTAACAACCCATTAACTACGACTTTTGCCTTAATTAACTCCTAATTTGCTGCTCATTAATAGTTAGGTATTTGTTACGCTTAGATATTGGGTAGAATTAGGGATGTAGAATATATTCATGCAGAATAAATGCTTTGTAATTACTAATAAAAGGTCAATATGTTAATAATAGGCATGCTAATAAGTAAATAGTTAACAGTGAGACTTGGTCCCTATACTAAAGTGTTACTCTTTTATTTATTATTATTTTATTTACTTTTCATTCATGGCACGAGTAGTTCAATTATTTTTCCAATAAGTAAATGAACTTCACAGTTTTGTATGATTTTTAAATTAGTTGTTGCTTTGAATCAAATGTGAATGTAAGGTTATTTTTTTTCTCTCTCTCTGGTTGGCTTGATTCGTAACTCTTTAATAATTGTTCAAAACATTTCTGGAACCGAGGTCACTGAGGAAGTGAGTGGTCAATGAGAGTCATGAGAGTCATGCCTTTGCGCATTTCAGGTGATAATCCAGGATTCTGTGGCGATCCAGGAATTCCTCCTCACGGTTCTCGTCTTGGGGAGGAGTTCAGGCATAAAAGCCTCCTAAGGTTCACGTGTGAAGCGGGCTACACGCTGATTGGATCTTCCGAGCGCACCTGTCTGCAGAATAGGTCCTGGAGTGGAACCCAGCCCATGTGTGAAGGTGAGGGTCACAGATACGTGTGGAGAGACACACAGGGCGAAATTCACCAGGATGTGGCTTTGCACTTGAGCTTAATTTGATCAGAAAGGCAAATTGTGATCCAGTAAAGGCAACGGCCTAATGAGTAAAATGTATGCTTGAGAGACTAGGGGTTTTTAGTTTGTGCTATATATTTATAAAGGTTTAAATGTTTTCTTAGAAACTAAAGTCGGCTCAAATTACGACATGTTCTCTTTGTTTCTGAACCTCACTTAACCTGCTGTGCTCACTTTTTCCTGAATTGTACATTGTAATTATTGTAAAATTGATCTTTTGATGCTAACCGGCCTAAAATCGGTAATTGCGAGTTAACTCGATGACTCTGGTTAGTGGAGCCACACAAAAGGCCCTGTCATTAAGCATGGTGTCTAATGATACATTACTTTAATAAGGATGTGTGAATAGCTCACTCTAGCTAACTGCTAATGGAAAAACAGGACGTTTTGACATGATTCAGAGTCTGAGCAAAGGTTTTTTTTTTTAGTTTTTTTTTTATTGTTACTGAGGTCCCACTTTATATTAAGTGGCCCTGATACCTGTGTACTTACATAGTAACTAGATGTATACGTAGTATGTAACCACAGTGTAATACACATTGGTACATAGTATCTAGAGCTGTAATATTTCTGTAACTACACACGTAACAACCCTCTGAATGGTTTGTGTAAGTACAAATGTGTAACAGGACATATGTAACTACATTTTGTAACAACACTATGTATAAGAGTAATTGGAACAATTTGATCCAGGGGGGTGGAGATGGGTAGGTTTAGGGATATGTAAAGTGGGAGGAGTTGGATCTCAAGTTGATGGAGTTGGTGCACCACTGTAATACCAGTGTACTTACATGGTAACTCCTCAGGAACTGTCCACTTAATATAAAGTGTAACATTCTGGACACCAACCACAATTTGTATGTAAAGCCTAACTTACTGGCCGCTGCTGTGTAACATCAGAGTAATTACATGATAAATCCATAGGAATTGTTTACTTAATATAAAGTGTAACACTTTCTTTACCAAAAAGTGCTGTTAGTCCTGTTACACATTTGTACTTTCATTACCAAAAAGTGTTGTTACCAATGTCCTGTTACACATTTGTATTTACACATACCATTCAGTGGGTTGTTACATATGTGTAGTTACACAAACATTACAGCTGTAGATACTATGTACCAATGTGTACTTACACTGTGGTTACAAACTATGTACACATCTAGTTACTATGTAAGTACACAGGTATTAGGGCCACTTAATATAAAGTGGGACCTTTTTTTTTTTTTTTTTTAGAAAAAAGACAATTCAGTTATTTTGCAGCTGACCATATTCATTTTCTTTGTAGTTTTCCTCCATATTTCCCATATGCAGTCCCTGTATATGTATTTGATCACTGACTCTTGCCTGTCACTGTTAGTAAATTTGATACAAATTACTTTATGTATAATTTATGAAGTCAAGTCAAGTCTGCTTTATTGTCAATTCTTCCACATGTACAGCACATACACCCAGAGAATTGAAATTGCTATATTTAGTTTAGATATAGTTAATGGAAATTAACAAATCAAATGTTCTATCTAACTAACCCACACCTACAGGTGCATCTCAATAAATTAGAATGTCATGGAAAAGTTCATTTATTTCAGTAATTCAACTCAAATTGTCAGGAAACCTTTGCAGGTGTTTTGAGTTGATTAGCTGATTGGCATGTCACCATATTCTAATTTGTTGAGATAGTGAATTGGTGGGTTTTTGTTAAATGTGAGCCAAAATCATCACAATTAAAAGAACCAAAGACTTAAACTACTTCAGTCTGTGTGCATTGAATTTATTTAATACACGAGTTTCACAATTTGAGTTGAATTACTGAAATAAATGAACTTTTCCACCACATTCTAATTTATTGAGATGCACCTGTATATATTCACCAATTTCATTGTGCAGCTCCATTGTATATCTCAATCTGTAATTTAGTTAGTCTCAGATGAAAACAAAATAATAATAGCGCTCAGCAAATAAACCTCATGGAAGCTAGGGTTCTGAATCACCCCAGGAAGTATTTATACCATACTATTAGAGGATAACAACAATGTGCCCAATAGCTTAATGTGTTTTATCACTAATTTGTTTGTTTGTTTTCTGCTACAGACAGTACGATGGGGTTGTGTAAAAGAGATTGATAATATACATTATTTAGGGCACATTCATAATTGAATAGGGGCTTTAACACATGGCTGAGACAGATCGCTGTCGGGGGTAACTCTACGGTGGGCTTTAGTACAGTTGTGAGGATACAGACAATACTTTCCAGATACCAGACATAAAACACAAGCCTGTTGCTACTTACAAATAATGACTTAAAGTTTGGAAGTATATCTGTTTACAGCAGCCCTCCACTAGGATCCCATTAACTCTTAATCGGTCCAGTTTTTCTCTATTTACTTAAGTTTTATTATTTAATCTGAAAGGATATGAGGGCCAAATTACAGCTACAAATCTTGATGATAATAAAGATTAAGTGAGTCATCCATGTGACCAACTATTTCAACAACAGTTCTGCTGATTAATGGATGATACAACTCCAAACATAATTATAGAAGTTTCATAATGATTTCTTAACTATAACTTAACCAACAACCAGTTGATCTTCAATATGCTCTTGGAGCATAAAAACACCCTTAAATTATTGTTTCGTCAATAGAAATGAAAACAAGTATTTTAAATATAATTTTCTGTTGCACATTGTTCATCATAATTTAGAAAGCGTTATTGAAAGCTGCATCATATGGACACCTGACCAAGTTCAGGTTGTTACCGTGCATCAGCAGGTAACATCTTTTTTAATTCTAATAAATCTGAACTCTAATTATTGCTATTTGAAAATACTAACAAAAAACTAATTCAAGTTGGAACTAATTTGATCTACCTTGCTAGCAACACTCTAGGCTGCAAAATAAATGAATCTGTATCACGATGATCAATACAGCTCAACACCCAGTTTCCTGTGCTGTTTATTCACAAGATTCTATTGAAATTATTTCACAATAGAAAATGACTTTGATGCATAAAATTCCATGTTCTTTGTTTCTACAATTGCAGTCAAAATGTATAATTTAAATATTATTGACTGTTGCACGCGAGTCGTCATAATTTAGAATAGCACTGTCGTATGGACACCCAACCAATTTAAGGCTGCCATGCATCTCTGTGCTATTAGAATTCAAACTCTAATTAACCGCATTGGAGCGTATCATCTTTACTGCCCTTATCTGAAAATGCCACTTCAAAGTATGAGAATAAACAAAAAAAAACTTGTTAAACGCTCCAACTAATTGGAAATGGAAGTTCATCTACCTTGCCAACAGCACTCTGCAGGCTGTAAAACACTGCGCTTGTGGTGTAGTTTCAAGTGTTTTGCTTGTGGTGCTAGCCCTTAGATATGTTTCACAGAAGCTCTTGTCTTACGATTGCTGTTTTCAGTCCCGCAGGCCTGCAGTGTTTTACTCCTCACATTCTCTCTTTAACTTCTTCTGGTCTTTGATTGCCGTCCCAGCTGTATCCTGTGGAAATCCTGGAACGCCGGCCTATGCCAGGATCGTTTTCAGCGATGGTATGCTGTTTCCTAGCTCGGTGACATACGCCTGCTGGGAGGGGTACAAGACCTCGGGTCTCACCACTCGCCATTGCACCACCAATGGCACCTGGACCGGCTCAGTACCAGATTGCATCGGTCAGAACAACAACCTTTACCCTTTTTGATTACCGCAAAATGTTTTTAACCTGCTTTTGTAATTACACAGGCATTGCTTATGTAATGTACCCTGTGTGCTTCAGGAGTTGCACTGATAGCTGATGAGTTGTGTCACAAGTCACGTGATCCACCACCGTTAACACCGATTGGACGTGTCAACAAAAGTTATTCTTATTTTGTTAAAAAAAGGGGAGACAACAGGATGAATCGTCATCTCTCCATAAAGTTCAGCAGTTTTAGTTGTGTGATATAGGTTTTATGTAATAGCCTGTAATGGGGAAATATACAGTGGGGTCCAAAATCTGATACCACATTGAAAATCTGGGATGTAGAAGATTGTTTTAGCCTAAGGCAAGTTTACATATTAGTTAGATTTCTAGGTCAATAATCTAGGTTCACCCAAAAATGAAAATTGTGTCAATCATTCACCTTCATGTCGTTCCAAATCCATAAGACCTTCGTTCATCTTCGGAACACAAATTAAGATATTTTTTATGAAATTCGGGAGCTTTCCGACCCTCCATAGACAGCAAGGGAACTACCATGTTCAAGGCCCAGAAAGGTAACAAAAACATCAACAAAATGGTCCATGTCCAAGTAACACAACGCGTGCTTTCCTCTGCTCGTAAACAAGGCGCAGCAGCATCACGCGCATGCATTGTGTTTCTCTCGATAATGGCGGTAGATGGTAACTCGGAGGAGACGAATTGTTGAATAAAGTCGTTATTTTTTATTTCTTTGTGCACAAAAAGTATTCTTGTAGCTTTGTAAAATTACGGTTGAACCACTGATGTTACATGGACCATTTTAACGATCTTACTACGTTTCTGTGCCTTGACTGTTGTAGTTCCCTTGCTGTCTATGGAGGGTCAGAGAGCTCTCGGTTTTAATCAAAAATATCTTAATTTGTGTTCCAAAGATGAACGAAGATCTTACAGGTTTGGAACGACATGAGGGTATTCCTATGACAACTGTTCCTTTAATTATTATTTTTTTTTCTATGAAAGGTCAGATGTTTTGATTCCACTGAAGTTCAAATTGGTCTTAGGAACATTCTCAAATCATACTCTAAACTCATTAGGTTTAAAAAAAAAAAAAACACGGGGTGCTGTTATTAAAGCAAAAGGTGGACAGAACCAACCCCTAAGACTGTTAATTTTAACTCAAATTGTTGTTCTGATAATACATTTTAATGACAATTTTTAAATAAAGTACATTAAATAAATGCACATTTTAAGCATTTTTGGTTCAAACTCTTTAATTACATGGTGAAAATAATGTGAACCCAAATGTAACCCAAAAGACACAATATTTTAAATATACGGTGCATTCAGAAAGTATTCAGATCCCTGTTTTCACATGTTATGATTTATTATATAATATTAGTTTATTTATATATTTATTTTCCACATCCATCTACAACTCATGCACGCGTCTGTCTATACAGTATAAGGACTAACAGCTGAAAATTCATATTAAGTTGTATGGAGTGCAGATTGATGTGAACAGAAATAATAATAATAATTATTATTATATTTCCAAGTGCAATCTCTATGAATTATTAAAGAATGTTCAAAAACGTTTGAGTCTAGATTGTCCTCTCTCGTTGCAGTTATCAGCTGTGGGGATCCTGGTCCAATTGCCAACGGAATTTACATTGGAAATGAGTTCATATTTAACAAAACCGTCCACTATTGCTGTAACCCTGGGTATGTAATGGAGCCCCCTGGTTCATCTACTCTACGCTGCAGCAAAGATGGCATTTGGAATCAGACCAAACCAAGCTGCAGAGGTAACTTCCAAACGTACACGATTCTCTCTGTACAGGCAGAGAGGGCAGCATTTCCTGTCACTCTGCAAACAGCATCATGAGAGCTTTTAAAATATATAATTATATTGTGGAGTTCTTCCCAACATCAAAAACCTTTCAGATGTTTTTGATCTCTTTTTTTTTTTTTACTTGCCTGGCAAGTGAGATTATTCACTTATGAACTCCAAGGAGATGTTGCCATGAAATGTGTGGGATCTATGTTATCAGATGTCAGAGTGAAATTAGCAAGTGGTGCAGACAGCTCAGCCTCCTCACGATCAGTTCTAGAAAATATCAGATATGTTTTCGGACGCAGGAAGATATGCGATGGATGTTTGATATTCAGAGTGATTTTAGTATGTAATCCCATTTAATCATCGTTTCCTCCCACAAGCAATACACTTCCTCCCATTAGCAAATGGAACGTAATGATCAAGGAAAGAAAATAAATAACTCTAAGCCCCTTGTTTAGCATACTATTCTTTCAGATCTTCCTTTTCCGCGTCTGAACAAGTGAAAGAAGGGAGGTGCTGGGTTTGGACACATCTTCCGTCAGTAATAATGATGGTGATGAAATCAGGGCTGTTCAGAATGCCTTTAAAATGCATCTCAGTTCCCATTCCTTTAGTCTGAACTGAGGTAGCAAACAGAATATGGAATTTGAATTTGAATGTAGGACAGTCAAAATAAAATTCTAAATCACTGCTGTAAGTGTAGGTTTTTATGCTACATGGGGTATTTACAGAAACAATATTTTTGTATTGATAACCAATGTTTAAAAATAGTAAAATAGTAAAAGTAGTAAAATAGTATAATGTTAAATAGTATAATGATTAGGCATGCAACATTTATGAAATCGTTAATTTGGAGATTATGTGAAACTTTTAAAAAATTAATTTGTTACCCCTCAGGACCATTCATGAAGGCAAAAAGGTGATCAATAACAGTGCAAAATGTACGAGACATGGTGTTCAGTTGCAGTAAAAAAAAATATTCCCTTAATGCATTCTTATAGATTTTATTGTAACATTTATTTGTTGCCAAAAAAAAAATTGGTGTTAAGCATCAATTGCCAGTAGGGACAGTACATTTCCATAATGCTTTAATTTATGCCAAATTTTGATGTTAGTATTTCTGTTTGGTAACACTTTAGAATAGAGAACACTTATTCACTATTAACTACGACTTTTCCCTCAATAAATTCCTAATTTGCTGCTTATTAATAGTTAGTAAGGTAGTTTTTAAGTTTAGGTATTGGTTAGGATTAGGGATGTAGAATAAGGTCATGTAGAATAAGGCATTAATATGTGCTTAATTAGTACTAATAGATGACTAATATTCTAGTAATATGCATGCTAATAAGCAACTTGTTAAGAGACCCTAAAATAAAGTGTTACCATATTTTTGTCACGATCGCTACTGTGAGGGAGCGCAGAGCGAGGAATGAGGAGACGTGGAGTACATCAACAAGGAGACTTTTATAACATCAAGGGAACCAGGAAAACACACGTAGCAGAGGAGGTTGACATAAACAATACTGGACGAAGGAAAACAGGGCAGACTACACTTTAAATACTGGAGCAAATGAAGATAATTAACAAAACAGCTGGAAACAAATGATGAACTAATCAGGGAACATAATGGGAACAGGAAGGACCAAATATGGGCATAAACTGAACATGGAACATGGAAGGCGCATCCACGCTACCCACAACA